TTTTGGCAGCTTTCCCTCATGTGGAGTTGGACGACGACCTCCAAAAGTACCAGCGGGAGAACTGCAGACTCTAAAATTGTGATTGCCTTTCTTATTTCAGATCATTAATTAAATCAATCTCTCACATTTCTTTCGTGGCTTGTAGAAGAAGACCATGAGAGCATCAAAAACAGACTCGCTCTGGTTACATGACCATGCTCAAAAATTTGCCGCAACTCCAAAGGTTCTTATTTTTCCTTTTAATTTTATCTTTCCGTGAAATTGTTCTTGCTTGGTCTTTGTTCTTATTTTTTTTTTCTGAATTTGATTGCATTTTGGATTTTATTGAACAATGTGAGTTGGTTTTCATAGACATAAGAAAATGTTTATGTTGCGTGTTAATATATTTTGTAGTGGATTATGATTCCGGTTAAAATTACAAATAATTCTACCAGAAAGTAACTATATTCAATTTATATTATATTTGGTTCTGCTTAGAAGTTGAGAAATTGATAATCTTGATTCTCTTCAAATCAGTTCACTTCCATGGCGTACTGTCAAAGCACATATGTTCTCACTAATTTTACGTAATTCAAACTATTTTTTTTAATGGTGGATGCAAAGATAGTAGCTTGGTATCTACCTACTTAAACTAGACGCTTAAGATTAAGGCCAACAATGAGGCAAGTTGTGAATTTTTTTAAGGAGAAGGCTAAGATTGATGAACCAAAAGATGATGAGTCTAGATACATTTTCGAAAAGACTAAAGATAAAGAGATTGTGCAGTTCAGAGTCGATCTCTTGGTCCCATATGAAGTTTTATAATTATAAGGGATAACAACATTTTCTGTTGTGATTAATCTAAACTAATACAAAACTCAGTATGATATTTAGCACATTTATTTTCTTCGAATTCTTTGAGTTGTTGTAGGTCTGCAATTAATAAAATTTAAATAGTTGCGTGTCTATTTTGTATGTCTATTTTTAATAAATTTAGTATGCTGCGTGCTGAATTTATAATAGCATTTCAGATTTTTTGACCTTACTGTTTGCTTTGTACTTTGTAAAGGATAGACGACTCAATAGCAACTAGGGGTGTTCACGGTCCGGTTTTAACCGAAAAAACTGTTAATTCGGACCGCGGATCGGTTAAATGGTCAGTTAAAAAAGCCTTAAAAAATCCAGTGGTTAATTTTTTTAAAAATCCGGAATAACCGGTCCGGTTAACGGATTACCTGCGGAAAACCGCCGGGTTAACCGGACCGGACCGATAAATATTAAAATACTATAACAAATATATATATACATTCAGTCATTCACTATGGCCGACAAATACAATACATTCACTGTGAATGCTTTGCACTTATTATTTAAAGTGTATAAACTAACTGAAAAATGAATGCTTGCTTGAGTTCAGTATGATTTTTGTATTTTTGTGTTTATGAGACGAAATTTGTGTTTTTATGTTTCTGGGCCGAATTGTGTATTTTTTATTTCATTATTGTTGTTTTTCTTAATTTTTAGGCCCAGATAATCTCTTTTGAGCCCAAAATTGTAAAATAAAAATTAAGTCCAAAATGAAAAAAATAAAAATTGAATGCCCAAAACAAGGATTTTAGATTTAACCGGTTAACCGCCAAACCGGACCGTCCAATGCGGTCCGGATTGTGGTCGGTTAAAAAATAAAACCGGTCCGGTTATGGACAAGAAAAAAAAATTAACCATTAGGTCCGGTTTGGTCATGGGTTGGGCTAAAACCGGACTAATCCGGACCGTGAACACCCCTAATAGCAACAGCTTAACGGATACTATTCCAATGCCGTTCACCAATATCTTGACCATTCAAGTCTTGTGAGTGCCCAGGGCAGCTAATCGTGGCTAATCCTCTATTTTGCAGTAAATTACTGTTCCCAAACCTTAAGAACCCAAGACTGCGAACTCTCATCAACCATAGGTGGATATCAGACCTTTTTTGTGTCTAATCACTATTTTGAAATGTGACTTTTCGACATTGCCTGTTTTTTAATCCAATTTATACTAATTTAATGACTGTGTGCGCAGTCGAAGAACTTGACGTACCTGAAATTTCCCTGATTTTTTTTTCTTTTTTTCATTTTCGATTTGCATCTTCTTGGACAGAGGGGACGTTCATGATTAAAGATTTCATTTTTATGTTTGAAAAAAATTATATTCAAACAATGAATCGAACGACATAGTCGACAATGTAAAGTCTAAGATTCAGGACAAGGAAGGTAAATTATCTGGTTCGTTCGTTTGTTTCACCTAATCGACGTTCGTTTGTTTTCACTTAATCGACAAATTTTCAGTTTATTTAGCAAATGCAAAAGGAAAAATGAGAATGATTGAATTTTTATTCGGTGATTGTTAATAAAATTTTGCAAACTTATTCTGCATTTCTGTTTCAGGGATCCTGTCGGATCAACAACGTTCGATCTTCGCTCGAAGATGCCGAACCTTTGCAGATTACAACATCAAGAAAGGTTATTTGTGTCATTTTTTCATTAATGGAAGGTAGATTATGTGGTTCGTTCGTTTGTAGAGTTTCTCATGGCAGTACTCTGACCTCAAATTTAATGAGACATTATAGACGATAATGGACTATAAGCGAAAATGCTAAGCATCAGTGTTGGAGGCTAACATAAAATTATTTAATGATTTGAGAAACTGTCGCTGAGGGAGTTTGGCTCTTGTTTAGGATTCTTCAATTTGTGTTTGAATGTAATTGTTAGCATGTGGCTTTTTTTTTTCAATGCATTGATTGTAGTTCTGGCGAAGTTTTGATGAGATTCCTGTTACTAAATTTTGAAAAATTACTTATGAGTTTTGTGGCGAGACCTCTGCTTTTAGATTGTACCTACATTATTTGTTTGTGATATGAGAGCCATTGTGCTAATTTGAATATGTACATAGGATTCTTTAGCATTACTTTCACATTCAATTTTTTGCTTGTTTTTGTGATCTGAGAGCCAGGGGCATGGTACAGATTTTTGCTTGTATTTTTTTCGGATGATAAATAAAGAAGACTTGTTTTTCACCTTTGATTTATTTGTGCGAGTTTGGGCCAGGATGAATGGAATATGTGTTCCATTTCTTTCTTTTAGTTTTAGCACCTAATTACTCTACTTTCCCTGGTGATTGGTGATGTTAATTTGTTTTTATCGTCGGTTTCAGCTTGTGGAACAGAAAAAGCAGCAGGGAGCAGCTCGGAGTGAAGCTGCAGGTTGCCTAACTAAGCAAAATAGATCATTTCGACGTATCAAGGCATCCGCCCTCCGCAACAGGTTACTTTTGTCGCTCATGCTTAAGTAAATTGGCTGGAACATCACCTTTTATTTGGAATTTGTTATTGACCCAAATTTTTGTGTGTTTAGCCGTGATTTAGTAGAATCTGATGGCGTATCATTAAAGCTAATGTGGTTTTTTTGCCGGGCAAATATGATCTTAAACAGCGTAATCGTAGCAGAGGAGAAGCATTTACCTCTGTGAGTAATTATATGTACTTTTTTGAATTGTGTTTAGGATAATTTGAAGGATATTACGTTGTCCAAGTTATTGTTTGTATTGGCTCGACGGTCTATGAAGAATTGAGCCGTAAGAATACAATATTTTGAGCATCGTTATTCTATACAACTGGTGGAGAATATAATGCGAATAAATAATGATAAACATAAATATTATTAAGAGTGAAGTTTTCATGGGAAACATATTATGTAAAAGGAAGAGATGATCCAAAGCTACAAAAAGATAGCTAAAACTTGTAATAATATGATTAAAATAATGTCAAAACTAATTTTTTCATTATGTAAATTAAGGATAATCACAGACGAGGGTGATAAGGGTATCAGGGGTGCCTGGACAATCCGACGACATTCGAGAGTCTGGACATGGATCCGGAGCTCGAAGGTGAAGTTTCGCCTGCGATATGGAATTACAAGACTCTCGGGTAAAAAAAAAAATATTGCGATTTGGATTATTACAATTTTACTTTTATTATTACAAGAGATGTATTTACAAGGTTACAATTTTATTTGATTATTACAATTTTACTTTTAAATTTTTTCTTTTATTTCACTGAAAAAATGGTTGAGTCTGACTGCACACATTTAGGGCCAAATCTCGCTTTCGAAAAGGGCAGGGGCAGATATTTTGGATTTGTTAAGACTGCAAGTTAATGAGGAAATGTGGTGTATATTATGAGCTCTAGCAGGACGCAAAATCTGTAAATTGAAATTTATCTCGTTTGTATAGACAATCATAAATTTGGAAGGGATTAAGTTAAAGTATTATACGCTTCAATCTTTAGTCAATCACCTTTGGAGTTTTGAATGTTAATGGAGTTACTGTGCAATATTATTCTATATAAACTCTTATACAATTAGCAGAGGTTGGGAAGTTGATGACATTGGTTGTTAGATGGAAAGGAGCAATTAGTTTTAAGTTTTTTCGATCAATACGTCTGATTAATGTGATTAACATCTACGGATACAAAATGTGATCACAAAAGGCGTACCATCATGGCAGGGAACTAAGAAGACTGCGTGATACAAAATAGATAACTAAAGATTACTTACAAAACTGGTAACTGACCATAGCATTACACAAAAGAGATCAGTAGAGTTCACCGCCCAATGGGTGCCAAAAAATGTTAGCTACACTGTCTTGTAAAAATTGGTATGCCATACGTAAGAGCATTCAATTTCTATCCAAAAACTGAAAAAAAAAATGGAATATATGTCTACATCAATTGATGCTGGAAAATTAGTATGCCAATATTTATACACACGACGAATTGACAATCATCATTATCAAAAAATAAATAAATAAATAGTGAAATAAAATAGAAGATTAAATTACCAGGCTTGCTCTTTTGTTTTTCAGAAACTCTGGGCCTGGCATAAGAAACTCATTAGTCTCACCCACAAATGACCAGCACATGGATTCAGCTGGCAACCCTTTTCTTATGTTTTTATTTTTATTTTTTTGGGAGAGAGAGAGAAAACTAAAATCAAACATAATCAATAAAGAAAACCTCAATTTCCAAAGAATTACAAACCTTGTACACTTTTAGACAAATCTTGTAGCAATGTATCCCAAACTAATTTTTTGGGGTAAATGAAGAGACAGTAGGTTGGGATCTGCGTATTTAATGTGTGGCGCTTAATATTTGTTTGAAAATAAGTAGGGAATAACAACAATAATATGAGAAAGGATGATGAGACAATGTCAACTTAACCGGAATAATATATGTAAAGAGCTGCAACAATTGCGCAAAAATGAGCTGCAACAACTGCCACAAAAGCTGTGTAATGAGGCTTTTATGGTGAAAGCTTATTTTGTTAACAAGCAGTTTAAAAATTGGCAATCAATTCGACTTATCATTACAAGTGATAACAAATTTTTACTATATTTTTAGACTAAATTTGTGTCCGCCGTGCACGAGACAACTAGTCTTATCTTATCTTATCTTATATATATAAAAAGGAAGCTATAGCCTTAAATGAATGATACGTGTCTGATTTTTTAACTGAAGGTATTCAAAACGACATACTTTTGACTCTGCTAAATGAAAATTGAAGCGAGATGCGTTGAGGCAACTCAATTTCTCCGTTCCACTCTTTCGAAACCCTAATCTTCTCAACACCGCTCCCACCGTCGCCATCATACTACTTCTCTTACCGAGAAGAGAAAGAAGGACAACCAAGAAATTCCGGTTGAAGGTGGATTTCAGTATCCATAAGAAAAGCCGTTAGCGGCATCCCTTTTTTTGGCAAAGTGAGTCCGAAATTTTTCTCATTTTCGCCTGTCCTAATTTTCAGTTTGTCAAGAACAAACAATCGCTGCGATTTTTCTTCGGAATTGAATTTCGTTTTGGTTTGAGAATGAAGAGGGTCACGGATGAGGTGGGACAACAATAGCCTTCATGTATTTTAAGATGTTGAGAGGCGGAAACAGCCATGAGACGGTGGAGCTGGGACTGTCTCCGTCGTGTGTTCTCAAGATTCAGAAAGGGTGCATCACCATGGCTGTCTCCATAGAGTTCTCAAGATTCAGAATCACTCGGTTGTCTGTCGAGGGTGTCTCCAAAGCTATTGTAAATATATCACTCTCTCTGTCCCTTATTTTTGTGAGTGTGTGTTAAAGTTAATTTTTTGATGTTCGAAAGATGGATTTGAATGAAAATGCGGAGATCAATACCTATTTTTTTGCATTTTTGCAGTACCTAGAAATTTTAGGTTGCTCGAGGAACTTGAACGTGATGAAAAGGGAATTGGGGATGGTACGGTAAGCTATGTAATGGATGATGGAGATGATATTTACATGCGTTCTTAGACTGGAACAATCATAAGCCCTCACAATGTGAGCTTCTAGCCTCTCTTATACTAATTTGTTGTGATGTGGAAATGTAAACCATGAATACCTTACCCTTGTTTTGGTGCATGTCTATCATTTTTATGTAAAAAATATTATTTCATTATTAATTTTTTTTCTGTGGCTGATACGGTTGGATTTAATTGACATCCTTAGTTAAATACATGATTGATGTTCACTTTGCGGAATCTTTTTTGCCTTCGGATGGTGTTTCCAAGTGATATCTCTTTTTTAGTTTGATGAACTTAATGGTTGTATAAACTATAGCATTTACAATTTTGATGGAATATAAACATCAGCACAATGCTGGTAGCTGCTAATTACTTTCTATTGTTCTCTATTCACTGACTATTCTTTTGCTTTAGCAACTTATTAAAAGAATTAATGTTTTTCTTTTTCCTGTCAGTCTGTACATAAATGGCGCATATATCAGTTGAAGATGTTCTGTGGCAGATTACTTAGAGAAGACTCCCAGTGTTAGATTCCATTCCCCGATAAGCATGACTTGCGCAAACCATGAAACTGGAGTGGTACAAATATAACGACCTCAAGGTTAAGTTGAATTGTCATCTTTTTTTGAAGGGGCCAATTAAACATTTTAAGACACTGATTTCACTATACATTTTAACATGATATCTAATTGTTGTGTATTTAGTTTCAAAACCACTGAGTACAACAATTCTTGTTTGATGAACATGCTTCTGTTGATTGAATGACATTGATAAATGTGTTTCCTACACTAATCATGATTCATCAATTTTACATAATACAAATACAATATTACAGTTTTTTTTCTTTACTTACTCTTAGTAACATTTTGACATTCTCCTGCATATTTTGGTGAGTGAACGAATTGCATTACTTGACGACGACGACAACAACAAGAAGAAGTTGTTAATATCCCACTAAGTGGGTGTCTGCTATATGGATCACATGTCACCATCGTGTTCGATCAAAACATATCCTCATTTAAATTTAAATATTTCAAATCATTTTTTATTGTATCCTTCCAAGTTTTCTTTGGTCCACCCCTCCCCCTTTTAATTTGCGTTTTTTGTTCTAATGTTTCTACCCTTCTCATTGGGGCATTGAAGTCTCTCCTACGCACATGCCCAAACCATTGTATTCTCATGCTTCGTTGATGTGATAGAATGCTAAGTGATTTTAGTATGCCTAAAATTTTTAATTCCAATCATCATTACTTTCGTGAATAGTTTAGATTACTAAAATTGAGCCTACTATTATATTTTTTCTATGTTTTGAGTTGAGGATTTCATTTTCATACATGTTTACACGTATTAAGCTGAGTATGAGTATTAGTCAGTATAATCTTCGGTGCTTCTAAGTTCAACCAGAATGTGGCTATACCATTAAGTTTATTGAAACAATTCTTTACGACATCCCATTTTTCTGGATTTAGAAAAGGATTGGGGGCTTTTTTTGTATTTCACAAAGATGGGGGGACTTTTTGCGATTCTTGAAAGCTTTGTGGAAGAGTTTCTTGGTTTTTCCCAGAGCTTCCTTTATGATCATCTGTCGTTTTACTTATGTTGTGTTTGCTCATCTTTATGGCCTGTATGCATTGTTTTTTTGACATATGCTCGAACATTTCTTAGGATTGTATGGCTATTAGGAACTTTAAGGTATTGTCTGTTGTGTTTTGTTAAATACTCTCTTTCAAGTAGATCAGCTTCGAACTTCCATTTACAAAAACTAATAATGTTGTGATTTTTCAATCTATTTTTCTTCTTTAATCAACTTTCCATAAGTCTTTTTTCCTTGTGCAGATACTCCCTTTTAAAATGGTAGATTTCAATCCCAAAATTGTTCACTCGAAAAATTAGGTTACAGATTGATTAGTATCATGTTGAATTTTACAATATATTAAGTTGACATTTGGTTTACTGGAACAACTCTTTATTAAGTGTACTTTATATTTATTACTCCAATAAATTTTTCACCTTTCGTATTTATTCATTTACATATTACGTCATTTTCTTCCTATCATTTTCACACCTTCAACAAAACAACTTCTGGAGTCCATAAGAAGCTCCATCACCCAAGAACCAGCTACCACACAAACGTCGGAGGCAACAACCAAAAGGCGTTTGACCTTCGAGCCAGAGTCTGCGACCTCAACTACAATGCAAGAAAAAGAGCCATCTGATGAGTCTACTGGTCATATGAGCCCACAAAAGAGCGCTGACAAAAAGGAAAGCCCTCTAAAGAAGACTCGTCGTGCAGCCCCCTAATGCAAATCATTCTTTGTACTGCAACCTAAAACAAAATCGACTTTTGAAATTTTGGTGGTTGTAGATATCGTTCACATCGTTTAGCCTTAACTTACAATACCAGAATTATGCAACATCTATCACGTCGATTAGATGTTTCAAAATTCTGGTTTTAACAGGATTATGTATAAGCGTTATTGCAGCTACTTTTGCCCACGCTTCGTACTCAGTAGTCATAGCATGTCTGTATATATTGTGTTTGACATGCTTTTTGCCAACCCCTTATGAAGAAAAAAAGTTGTAAATAAGTTCTATAATTTTGGTATGTTAGTTACTTCATATTAGATGCAATGTTTGCTTTCCACTTTAACTCTAATATTTACTTTACAATTCAATCGCAAATATGAACATTAATAACACGTTATTACAATGGGCAGGCTGTGCAAGGCACAGCCGTTTTTAATAAACCGGTTATAGCATAGGAGGATTCTTAAAATAAAGTTTTAGAAAATATATTGACATGGCTGCTAACTAGTAAAACTGCAAAGAGAAACAAATAAATAAAAACTTACTACTTTAAAAATTATTTTTGATAGGAAACCAAACAATTATTTTAGTCAGTGTTGAGATCAATTTACACTTTATATTAAATGTAGCAAACCTAGGGTTGCACATGAATCGAGCAGGCTCGCGAAAGCACGACTCGAGCACGAACTGAAGTCGAGCTCAAGCCCATATTTTGCATTGTCGAGTGCCTCGCCAGTGACTCGCGATATATGTTATATTACTAAGATGCCCCTTGTATAGTATATGTACTTAATGGTAATTTTACAATGTTGTTTGAAATTTTTCGAATCGAACTCGAGCTTAACTCGAGCTATTGTATTTTTTTATCGAGTCGAGCTCGAGCCTCATAAATTGAGCTCGAGCAACTCAAAGAAAAAAAAAAAAACAATCATAACCAATGCTCGACGCGACTTGATTCGGATCGTTTGCAGCCCTAAGCTAACCCACAAAATGAAAATTCATTTTGATAAGAGACGAAACAACTATTTTTAGCAAGTGTTGAGATCTCTTTATACTAGCCCGTTGATGCACGGATAAAAAATATTGAATGATAATTATAAATTAAAGATATCGGTAAATAATATTAAATAATAATTATAAATTAAGGACGTGAATAAACAATATTAACTAATAGTTATAAATTTAAAGATATGAAGTTAACATGTGATAATTTAGCATCTATATGTGTATTTATAGATATAAATCCTTAATAGAACGTGTAAAAATTTATCCAAACATGTTTAAAAGTATTAAAATGTTATACGTATAAATAATATGTATTAGGCTAGAAAAATTAAGAATCGGGTATGGAGGTCACAAAGAAACTGGGAGGGATCACGGAAGGACCAATAAAAGAAACCATAACAATAATGGAGAAAAACAACATCAAAACCGTGACGGCTAATTGCATGCTCACAATACCCCTTACACACGACAAAGCCCCAAAAAAAAAACGAAAAAGTATCAATGACAATTGTGTATTTGTAAAGATGCTCTCATGTTCATGTAACCATGGAATTAACAGCCAAAAATAGATGATTTACTGGCAGGGAATCATAACAAACAAGTTAAATAACCACAAAGTTTTGAGTTTAGGCATACAAACCATTTATATTCAACTCATTTTGGAAAAGAGCACTCTTCTTAGAGTCACCAAGAAAACCATAACTTCCACACAACATTAAGAAGATATCCGCTGCAACAAATTTCAAAGCAGCCAACTGAGTACAAGGTTAGTGGTTGAAAATCTAATACTAAAAAATTTCAATTCAACTCCAAAAGAAGAAAGGTAAAGAGAGTACCTACCATTTAAACACCTTGTTCAATAAGATAATCACCAATCTTCTCAACCACCATGTTGCATTGACCAGGAGTCATGGGCTCATCATAGAGGCCAATGATCAAAGCAAGATTGGTCTTCTTGATAGTAGCTCCACCAGATCCCTAAGGAAAAAGAAAGCCATATATTCATTTAATTATTCAAATAACTATACAATGCAGCTTATGACACGCTGTAAATGGAAACATGATAAAATAACTTGTTAAAAATCTAATTGCGAAAACGAATAATGAAAAAATTTACACCCCCACTCCCCCCACTGCATCTAAGCTCAAACGCCAAAGCAAGTGTTAGGAACTCATTTCCCTTTTGCTACTAAACACTGCGTTAAAAACTATTTTATATAAAACAAAAATGTGCATATGACATAAATACCGCAGCTTTATAAATATATCTGGAAACAAATTCACAATGAAATAAATTTGCTCTCATTACCTTCTTCCCACGGATGACAGCACCAGGTTCACCTTGAATCACCATGTACTTGGTGCCCCCAATGTACAATCCAGTGGGGGCTAATGTACCCGGGTTATCAAAATCATTCAGGATAGCTTGTACCTCATTAGGTTTGAACTGCACTAGCATCATTTCAAATATGAGGAACTGTCATTAAATAACTATAATACAGATATCGAGCTTATTTTTCTTCTAAATATACTTGATTTTAAATGGTCGTTCTAGTCAGAATTTGTATCTATCCCAGACATGAATGGCGATATATCAAAACTGAGATACCGCTGATAATGAAAATTTACTAATAAACATGCAATCGATCAATAAATCCAAGAAAATTATTAAATGGTTAACTTTCTGCCACAAAATTTCTATAAAATGACTAAGAAGTACTGGACATAATTCTGTTCAATTTATCTTATATGCTTGATCCAATAAAATGCTGTACCAGGAATCATAAAAAATATGTAATAGAAAGTAATGCATGACTTTTTAACTCAAGCAAACCAAGATTATATAATTCACAAAAAGCAGCAGCAAAGATCAACTACTAGAAGGATTCAAGTATTTTGATACTAAACAAAATATAGAAAGTAAAAAAAATAATAAAACAAGCGGATGAATAAACAGATCATCCCAACCAAGATCAACCACAAACATCATCCAATCAAAGCAAAAGAAGTCCATCAGATCCGAAAATTATAATAGATCAAATAAAAAAAAAAAAATGCTGAACACCATAAAGTACAGGACGTATTAAACCAAACTACGGCGGTATCGTGCTATGAAAATCCACAAAATTGGATACAAGCTAATCGATCTCCCTAATCAGTCCACTTCAACTGATGTACCATTTTAGGTATAATACCTATCAGATCCACAAAATTCAAACAAGTAAAACTAAAGAAAAGAACAAGTTGAAGAGCTATACATCTAAATAATACTAGAAAGTGAAAAGCAAGAACACCTGGGGGAAGTTTGAGCTCTGGGCCCAAACGCTGCCGTCATGGCCAACGATGGCCGCGGCGGTGAGGTGGCAGTTGTCAACCTCCGCCATCAAGTGGTCGTCGATGTAAGATTGCCACGACATCGTTTGAGGGTCAAAAATTCCCAAAGCAGTGTGGTCTGTGGTTTGAGGAGAGGACGACTAGCGCAGTAGCGTGAAAACAACGGAAATGAAGTAATGCTCGGTTGACTCTTACAATCATCACCTTTTATACTTGCGGGTTTGGAGGAGTAATTAGGAATATTATTACATATACAAATAAAAATTTATATAAGTTATATATGGAGGTGTATAAAAATTTTCTTAAGGCAGCCGGTGAGCCGTTTGACTTGTGTCATAAAAAGGTTTCGCCTCTGTATTGTGGAAATATAAGAAAACATCTCTTCGATGATCGAGAACTCGAAGATCGTTGTTTTATAGGCGCTCGACGATCGATAAAATTTTTTGGTTTTCCTCCATAAGGATCGTCTTTAATTTGCAAAGAAAACGATCGTTGAACCGTTTGTGAAATAAATGGTCGTCGAATGACTGGAACATGGAGGTTGTCTTTTGTGAAGAGAATGACCGTTGAACTGTCGGAGCATGAAGGTCGTCTTTTGTGAAGAAAATGATTGTCGAATGGCCGAAACGTGGAGGTCGTCTTTTTTGAGGAGAATGATCGCCGAACTGCCGAAACATGTAAATCGTCTTTCAAAAAAGAAAATGATGGCCCGAACATCCGAAATGTGGAGGTCGTCTTTTGTGAAGAGAATGATCGTCGAACGGCCGGAACATGGAGGTTGTCTTTTGGGAAGAGAATGATCGTCGAACCGGCCAAGAGTGCATTTATCTATTATAAAATTTGCTTGTATGGAACATCCAGTAAAATTGAGTGGCGAGTGGATGTCAGCTTCGTACTCTTTTATCTCTTGCATTTTACATAATAGTGTGACGTTCTATTTGATTTTTATTTATTTATTTATTTTTATGCAGCGATCGAAAAGATAGCGACCTCATCGCGATATGAAAGTGCAAATAGTTGTGCGTATAGTGAAATAGGAGTGACCGTGTAAAAAAATCAAGAGAACAACGATTTTACATGTGCAAAGGTGTTACAAAATTGAACAAGTGTGACTTTGTCGATCATATACAAATCTAGTATAAAAATCTTGCTAGTCGAGATATGCATGATAGAAAAACCTCCATTTTTTCAAGATGTCATTGTTGTAGATCGGTTTGATCGTCTGTTTGCATAAATGAGGGGAGATCAACAGGTCGTTCTCATCATAAGAAGATATTGAGCCGAAACATCTTATGGACATTCTTTGCATAGATCAACTCCTTTCTATGAGATTGGCGATGGTGGTGAGGATCAACAAAAAATGTATGTATGACGCTCTTGCCATGGGATGATATTCAGACTAAACAAACTTTTCGAAGCGCAGCGAAGTCAGAAGTATTGGCAAAGCAAAGTACTGAAATATCCCAGCGATCGTCATTGCACAAATTAGATGTGCATGTGTCGATCTATTGGATCGCCGTTGATAATGGGGACGGCTTGTGGTCTCGGATGACCTTGATGGTTTATTTTGATATGCGGATGTTGTTTACTTCACATGTCATTGCTTTATCTGGCCCTCGGGTGTGTATCATCAACCCAACCCGACGATCGGGCAGTCAAACGATCACGATGAAAGAATTTATTAGCGATTGCCCAACAATTATCAGGTTGACCGTTGCGTTGAGACTTTTTGGGCCTAAGAAGAGGATCTGGTCAGATTTCCATTTTCGTCCAGTCCATCCCCTGGCTCCCCGCCTCGAGAGGGTCGTGATTAAATGAGAACCGACGAGTCGTCCACCCACTCATTCATATTGAGGATGTGCTAGTCGATCAGTATTCTTGTCGAAGGTGTACTAATATGATGAGGTGCTCGAAAGTATAAATTTGATCTTTTTGTGTGAAGAGAAGACAAAAAGTAAATATTTGGATACTTTAAGGGAAATTTTGACAGATTAATAGGATAATCGGAAAGAAGGGTCAGTTGAGCCACCCGATGGTAATAAAGAGAGGGTCGGTTGTGCCGTCCTTCACCTGATGAGGAGATATGAAGAAGATGAGAGGAGGTGTATATGAAAAACCCTCATCAGGACATGTCTTTATATAGGAGCGAGGTCCAGATGTAACCCTTGATAGTCGTCTTTCATCTAGCGTCATTCTGTTGACGGTCGACCTCCAATAGTTATGAAAAGTATGTTTAAGGTGGTTTGATCGAGGGTTACAAAATATTTATAGTGTATTTTGAATGCAGATAGATCGAGATAAAAATGTATGTGTAAGAAGAAAGAAGTACACCTATATTGTCGATCGCCAAGGAGATTGTTTCTCTGGGATTTTGTTAAGAAATTTGTATAATGAATATACAACCAAGTATGATGTGTGTATTTGGTTATGATCTTGGAAGATTTGATATGAGAAAGCTATGTAGTAAGGGTGTCGTGATATGGTATTGATGACTGACTGATCGATCGATTTTTGGAACCAGAAGGGATTGGTGTTTATATAAGAAATATTAAATGCTTCCTGCCAGCTAGGGGCGTAGTGTGGCACCGCGTGTATCCATGCAGAGCTTCATGGAACATATTGGCACTGCCATCACCTTTATCAGTTCATAATTCAAACTTGTGGGTGTTCGACTAGCTTTCTCGAGAAGCCTCCGAGGGCGTTTGGCGGGCCAATCGGGGGATCGACAACCCTAACCCTACGGTCTTGGGCCATTCGTGTGAGGGTTGATGTGCTCCGTAGGAATTTTTTAAACGTGTTTGGGCTTTCATCCTTTGGAAGCTAGGCATTTTTAGGTACAAAAATATCAAATGTTCGGGAATTCCAAATCATGAGTTTCATTTGAAAATTGAAACTCCCGTCATGTTATTGTGGAACATGGATCATTTTATGGGTCTATATAATGGAATACGGTTGGTTGTGACAAAACTCTTCACTTATGCTCTCGAGTTTAAGATACTCAGTGAGTATCATGCAAACGAGAAGGTGTGGATTCCTAGAATGACTAAAACTCTTCTGATGTCAGAATTCCTTTCAAGTTCCAGCGACGATAGTTTCCCATTATGGTTTCTACGTCTGTAAACAAGAGTAGGTACAATCCTGATCGCATGTTGGTTTATTTATTAAGAAGTCAGATTTTCAGTCATGACAAATTATATGTTGTTGTCTCCTGTATCACCAACCAAAATGATTTGTAAAAGTTAGTTTGTGGTAATGATGGCTCGCCATCAAATCAAACAAAAAAGTCGTGTAAAAGAAAATGTTCAATAATTTATGATTTTAATTTGTGTAGCGACTTGTTTAGTATTGTTACATGTATAGTGGTATGTCAAAACCCTCGACTGGCTGGAAATCGGTTCGTCCTCATGCTTCTTCCCGGTAGAACGCCTTATACCTGCAAAAACTTTCACACCGGAGGGAGTTTCCGGTGAAGAGCCTCCGATGCTTAAATGAGTATGTGTAGATGATTTCTGGAAAAATATGGAATAATATGAATGTAATGTATGAAAATACACATCTCACCCCTATATATAGGGGTGAAGTACATGTTTCTAGAAGACTGTCCGGATGTGATAAGCTGGCTGCCCTAGCTGCCCGATAGTACGATTCCTCTGTCAGAATGTGTCAGACGTGGTTATGAGGCGCGGACCAATGAGGCAGTGCCACGTGGTTTTGCCCATGTGGGGCTTAAATCCATTGAGATTCCTTATCCTCGAGTTTTATACCAATTCTAGGTCGATTTGAGGTAAAGCGCTGACTGCTCCGAGTCTGAGTTTTGGTCGATTAGACAACCATTCGTGCTACAGGTTGAGCTTCGGCCAGGTTATCCGAGGGCCCTGGCTCGACCTGTTTTGCTCATACCAAACCTCCCTTTAGGATGTCTTTCGGATCAGAGGCCCTTATTACTATGATGTTCGACCACGACCACTCGGATTCCGCCTGACCAGGAGACTTGCTCGTTCCACTCGACTGGTTTACTTCCTCGGGTATTAGGGGTGGCGGCGGTCCGAGACAGTCCAAGATTTGATCTATCCCGATACTTGTCCTGCTTTTTTTAACCGGTCCGGGACGAGACACCGTCCCAAACGGATCGGTATCAATTGGGACCGGGACAAAACGGTTCGGAACCGGGACGAAACTGATCCAAAAAAAAAACACAACTAAATACCGATTTGATTTGAGGAATTGGTTGGGAATGAGAATTGTGAAAAATGAACTTCACAATTCAACTTCAACCCCCAACAATAATGCCTCATTGTCTTCTAAGTTAACTTATACATTTGGGCCAAATAAATGGTAATGGGTAATTTTTATTTTTTATTTTTTATTTTTTTTTGGGCCAGAGAATTGAGCTTTAATAGTTACAAATACAAAACTTGAACTGAAGAAAGAAGTTCAAAAACTATTGTTAATTATTTACTATAATACTAACATAAATATAATAATAATGTATAATATATATATATATATATATATATAATATTTTTGTACGAAAAAAATAAAACGGAACAAACGGGGTTTGGGACAAAAATATTCAAAACCGATACCGATATTGTTTCAAACGGTTCGGTAAAATTAGAAAACCCATTTGGAACCCTATTTTTCGGAATGGGACCATTTCGGTATCGAAAAATTCGATTTTTTTGCCCACCCCTATCGGGTCTAGTATCCCATATCATATAGTCTTTTAATTTTTAGTATTCAATATATTAAGCATTCCACTAAAATTTGTTATCGTGTGCATCACACGGGTCGCTACTAGTAATAATTGTAAATTTTGGAGTTTAGTATTAATTCATTGATAGCACATCACCCAAAGTAAAATTAAAAATAAATTAGGTAGAAATAAGATATTTGATTGAAAAATTTCAAAAAATTTAATAAACATATTTAGATTAATTGATATCACATTGGTTAACAAAAAAAGAAAAAAAAAAGAAAAAAACTGAGGGGCAATACAACTGGCAGCAGGACACATTTCGTAGTTTAACTTTCGAATTAGTCGTTGGGCCAGCTACAAGGATCACCACACATAAGCATAAAACCTGAATATTTAAAAAAAAGAATAAAAAAAAAATCTTACTAGGTATACTAAAGATTAATAAAGTACCAAAAAAAAAAAATCGAGAATGATACATTTTAGGAGTTTTTTTCAATCCAAGACCCGAGATAAGTTACCTATCAAATCGGGACTTGAAAGATTTTTTTTATCAATTCATGACCTGAATGTTATAAACTATCGGAATG